GAGTGAAAACGAGACCCCGAGCCCCAGAGAGGATCAACCACAAGTGACTTTTCAAAGCATTTACCACTTAAAAACCTTTTAGCTGGACCCATGTTGAACATACATATGACTACACAATTTTAAATATCCCTTTCTAATTCCTCAACCACCCCTCCCCCAAGTCAGTGCCAGCTTCCTTTTCCACCTCAGTACTTTTATTTCAGAACCATCGTGACCGTTACTTACTGGATCGTGTCCTGGCTGCTACAAATAACTGCTCACTTATCCCCTTGACTGGAGACACAGATTTGGTGGGTTCATCCCCAAATCCTGATCAGTCTCTATTCCCACCACACAGATGGGGACCTGAGATGGGCAGAAGCCATGCAGCCCAGGCAGAGAAAGAAACACGCCTACAAACCAGCGCTCCACTCCAGAAATGATTGCAATTCCACATCATCTAGCAGATCCACAATCATGCAAATAACAGTGAAAGGACCCATTTCATTTTTTTCTTCCACACAGGGCTGTGTGCTAGTTTTCGAAACAGAACTCTCGGAGGCTTGGGCATCTGTAGAGCTGCGGTGGGAAGCTACTCGGATATGGCTGACACATGCACAGACATCCCCACACAAAAAAAGGAAACAAGGGCTAAATGTATGAGAGTCAGCACCGTGTCTCATTGCCACACACACACGCACATGCCAGCTCAAACTTGAGGGTGCTGGGAACATATGAGGCTGGGGTGGGGGTGAGGCATGGATGTCTTGGTGGCACAAGCAAATTGGATTTGCAAAGAAAGTAAATGTGGCTTGGAGGCTCTTATGGAAATCTATTTGACAGATGTCTCTGTGTAATAACCATATCAGCATGGTCAGGGTCTCGCACTAGAGTCTTGGGGAAGGCGGGCTGGGGGGGGGGGCTGCTTCAGAGACAAGCTCTGGTCTAATTTTTGTGCCCATTCAGAAGTTTACAGTTAATGATTAAACTTCTAAAGTGTGATCAATTAACTAATGTGCCCAAATGACAAACCTACAAAAGCCAAACTCCATTCTCCACTCCCTACCCAAAGAAATGCAGGAAACCAGGGACGAGTGTGGTGGGGGAGGGCACATTGGCCTTTTCCACAGATGCCAAGTGTCTAAAAGCAATTTAGACACTACAAACAAAGGAACGGGCACCACTCGGGAAGGGCTTGCATTTCTCAAGTAGCCAGTGCAGTGTGTTATGAGGCTTTGCAGGCTGCAGATAGGTACAGAAAACGCAAGAAGATGAAATGGAGGGGAAGGGAAGTAATGTGCCGATTGGAAATGGGAAGCAGACATCATTTTCTCCTCAAAGTGGTGGAATGAACACAATGACACTGAAAGTCCCTCTGAGTGCATCAATGCAAAGCCTCGAGGCCTCTTGGAAGGTTGCGAAGGGAGTGGGAAGGCTGCAAAGGGCAGGTAATCTTGTAAGTGTCCATTGGGTGGTGTGAACAGGAAGCTACAATGGCCTGCCTGCATGAGATTACAATCTACCAGGAGATAAAAAGAAAGGAAAGAAGGAAGAAAGGGAGGAAGGAAGAAAGGAAGGAAAGGAGAGAGAAAGAGAGGGAGAGAGAGAGAGAGGGAAGGAAAAGAAAGGAAAGGAAAGGAAAGGAAAGGAAAGGAAAGGAAAGGAAAGGAAGGAGAAACTGCTTCAATATATAATGAATGATCAGGTTCTGACCACATACTGGCCAAGTTCATGGAAGAGAAATTCACAGAGAAACCCATCAGCACAAGCCACTATCTGAGTTCTAAACTAACAAACATAATATTGTTTTATTAAGTTTTCTGGTGGGGGGGTTGATGAAATTTGGATTGCCCCATAAGTGTTTAAAATAGGAACAGAGCATAATTAAGCCTTCTTTTATTGGGGGAAAAACTGAAATAAAGAAAACTATTTGTACCAGTTGCATACTGGCCAGTTGGGTCACCAAGAGTGCCATGGTAAGCTGAATGAATCTGGAAATGCTCCTACCCCATACCACTTCCAAAAGGGGCTTGCTTTCTGATTTTTTATTTTTCTCTTTCCCTGGGAATTGTTTTGGCTTCTCACTTCTTGGTCTCCTCTTCAGGCTCAACCTGAACAATATCAATGGCAGTCTCTGAACAATGCCATCAGGTTGATGTGGTAAGATAAGGACGGCCACACATCAGGCACCAGGCTCAATGAATGGTTTTCATCATGCCCCACACAGCCCATGCTCACCGATCCTTGCTTCAGAAAGTACCACCTTTGCCTGACTTTCTCCCTGGACCCTCGGAGTCAAATGTATCCAGTCACAGAGAGCACAGCATTGGAGCAGAAAGGAGACCCCATAAGCAAGCCTGTCTCTAACCTGGGGGGCCAGCAACTTTGCATTGTGCATCAAGATATGCCCAAGAACCTATTTCTAGGCCTCAGTCCCAGAAGAGCCAGGGCCCCTGGGCCCCTTCTCTTCTGAGGTGCAGACAAAGGTTGAATGGAAAGAACTCCAAGAATAAGAGCATAGTGAAGGGCAGCCACTTGCAAAGACTCTTTTTTGTTCTGGTAAGGGGAGGGTTAATGGGAGAGACATGTCATGTTATCACTTCAAGGATTTTGACAGACAGTTCCGGGATAAGGGAGAAACTCCACCCTTAACTGCAGCTCTGAGGACTTGAAAGGCATTCACTAACCTCCACTAATTGCATGTTTTTCTTCGTGTCATATTTACTTGTTGGAAGTCTTGCCTGGCCCATTCATTTCCTCTGCCCCGCTATTCACAGGCCTGAGATTAGAAGAGGAAAGGCATTTGGAGAGATTAAAAGCTCACTACATTCTGGCAATGATTTTCTTCTTTCCATAGGTCCAGAACCATAGGTGCAGAGTATGCTGATCTCACCCACCCCCTACCACCCTCCCTGTGTTCCTTCAGTGAAATCCACCCTCTGTCCTTAATTCTTCAGACAGGGGAGGGAGCTATGTCCTGCCATCGGTGAACAGACAACCAGCTGCCACTGCCTGGGTGGGCAGGTAGCAAGTTCGAGAGAGAATTAATGAACTCACTTTGGATGGATGAAGCTTTAGAAGCCCTGTGGATAGACTGAGCATTTTTATAAAACTGCTTTTCTTGAATGCAGTTCTCAGGGTCTTGATGTGTCTTCCTGGTACAACCTAGGTCCATACCAGAAAGAACCCTAATTACTACCATCTTCCACCTAAGCTTAGACCTGATCCAGTGATCTCTAGATTCAGGGCATCAGCCTGGTGAGTGTGAATGATTCTAGGCACACTACACAGTGCTCACATCTCAGACACATCTTCCCACACATCCCACCGTGAACCTACCCTCATCTAATTCACTCCAGGTCTTCCCAAATTCCTCAAGCTTAGGAGTAAATCAGGAGGCAGCCCTACTCAGAACTATTCCCAAGCGCACGGATTAGATGTTCAAGACTAAAGTATTTTGTCTTTTGAGCGGCCATCAGCCAATTAACACTGTTCCAGCTCTTGGGGAAACTGGAAGAGATGCAACCCTTTCACTGAAATCCATCTTGAGCAAAAGATTTTACAAGTGTTGAGGGGCTGCCACTTGGAAAGCCAATTTGCAGGGAGATGGGCGGTGCACAGATTAGTATGCATGCTCCCACAGATCAGTCTCCTGCAGACGAGCCTTGCTCCAGATGCCTCCTTGTCACCATCAGCTCCAAAGCCTGGTGTTCTCCCCTGCTTCGGTACTCTCCCCAGATGGTCACCTAACATCTTGGCTTCTAGCTGAGATAGAGCAGTCACCCCAAAACCCGTCCAACCTCCCACAAGGCATTTTTAGTCATGTGCCAAATACAAGTGAAGTTGTATTAATTCTCCTTTGGCCAAGGCCAGTTTTGGTGTTTACAAGGTTAGTGCCTGACCCCCAACAGCCCACCATTGTAGCTGATCCCTGCTAGCAAATCTGCCCCTATCATTCATGCCCAACAAGCAGCCCAACCGTTCAATGGTGCCTTACTTTTGTTCCCCGGGTTTAATTTTATAATTGTTAACAGTTTGTTCTCCTCCTAGCCATTCAGGGGAAGAAGTGGAAATGGGGGATGAACTTCTAGAAGAATGCCAGGGGAGAAAGGATAGCCCAACAGTGAGGAAGAAACATCCCTGCCATGCTAGTTGGACAGGGATGGCATCCAGGTGCAGTGTGGTGTGTCCTGACCTCAATGAACCATTGAGCCTGGTCCCAGAGGGTTAGGGGGGGTTGGAAGATGATGCATCTTCAAGCCCTAAGACTGACCTCCCAGGCTCTTTCACACAACAGCTCCCCTCTGCCCCTGTCTGAACCATCTTGTAGCATGTCCCAAAATAAACACACAAGAGGTAGAATGGCTTTCAGCTACAGTAGTCCTGGAGGACTGGGTGCTATCTGGTTAGTCACTGAAGCCCATGAAGGGTACAACTGGGAGCAGTAAGTGTCTTGAATGAATGAAGGAAGAAGGATGGGTGGATGGATGGATGGATGGATGGATGGATGGATGGATGGATGGACCGATGGACAGACAGACAGACGACAGATGGGTGTTAGTGAAGTTCCCAGCAATACCCAGCAAAAGTAGCCACTTGACCAACATCGGTCTCCCTCCTCATTCCCCTCCTCCAAGTGTCAGCAGAGGCTGCTACACACAGTAGGCTCTCCACAACAAGGGGTGGCTATTGTTATCACCCTTATTATCACTTGCACCCCACCAGCCCTCTCCTTCCACGGGTTACTCCAATAGCAGCTAGCGGCAGCCAGCCAGCCTGGGAAAAGTTTCGCTGACCACACGGCCCGGCCAAGCCCCCTCCCGCCCGCACTGGCCCCGCGGGCTGCGCAGCAGCAGCAGCGGCCGACCGGGTCCGCGCGCCCGGGGCGAAGCAGAGATGGCCAAAGTAACTTTGAGGGCACCGCGGGCCGCACCGGTGCAGGGACAGGGTCCCGGCCGCGCCCCCTCCGGCCCGCCGCCCACACCCGGCCCGTGCGCACTCCCGGCCCGGCCGGGTCCTACCTGGCCCCGGGCTCCTCTTCGGCGGCCGCGAGCAGCAGCGCGCGCGGAGGGCGGCGGGGGCCCGGCTCCCGCGAGGGCGGCGCGCAGGGGCGGGGGCCTCTGCGCCGCGCGGCCGAGGCTGCGAGTGGGAGCCAGACTCCTCCTTCGCGGGGCGGGGGGCTCCCCGCGCCCCCTCCCCCGCCCCGCGCCGCGCCGCCCCGGCCCCGCGCGCCGCCGCGCCGCTCCGCCCGCGCGCACGGGCCCCGCAGGAGCGCGATCGCGGCCTCGGGCCCCGGCCCCGCGCGCCCTCCCGCCCGGGTCCCGTGCACCCCTGCCGCGCCTGGGGCCTCGGCGCCCTCCCGGGCCCGGAGTCCGCATCCCGCCGCTCAGGGGCCGCCCCGCGCCCTCTCCACGCAGCCCCCAGCCCCGGCTCCCGAGCGCCAGAAGAGGGGAGCGGGGCGGGGCGCCCTCACCTCCGGAGCCGCGCGCCGCATACAGGGCGTGCGTGGCTTCTTCCCGGTGTCCGGACACCCTCTCCATGGCCAGACCCCAGTCTGGGACCACCGGGATGTCTTGTCCCTGGAGAGACGCAGACACCCCCCCCACACACACCCGACTGGATCCTCCAGCTGAGCCCCTTCTGTTTCCCTGTCTTCCCACCCCTGGCCTTCTGGGTGGCCCACAGTGCCCTCAGCCAGAAACCCAGAGCTAGCAGGTAAGCCCATCAGGGAGTCAGAGGACCCAACACTAGGTTTTAAGGAGGCCCTGCCCAAGGAGGCAGAGGCAAAAAGATCTGGAAGTCTGTCCAGCTTGGGAAGTTTGAGAGGCTGAGGACCCCTGACCAGAGTGAAGAGGGGGTCCACAAGGCCTAGTGTGGTTAAGAAACAGAAACCACTCTGGCCTGGACCTCCCCCCATAATGGCAGTTAGGCAAGAGGCCCATCCAATATCCCTTAACCAATGTCTGTGTATCCCACTTGCTCATCACTCTCAGATGGTTAGTGTTAGACCCCAAGGACACTTCTGTGGGCACTTGAAGCCTGGGGCCACTCTGAAGGAAAAAGCCTAGTCTTGTGAGTGAGACAGAGGGAGACACATAGGAGGAGGGGACAGCCACCTGGCTAGCTTCCTGGAAGTGGAGATGGCACAGTAGATAAGAGCATGCCCAGAGTGGAAAAAGCTTTCTTGGTAGAGGCTGCTCCAGGCCGGGATCCTGGCCAGGTGGTGTGATGGTGAGGCTCTGTGAACTTAGAAGATAGAGTACCAAGGAGGGTGAGGTTCTTGGACGAAGTTAGAAGATAGAGTACCAAGGAGGGTGAGGTTCTTGGACGCCTAGCTAAGCCAGTAGAATTCTTAACAAGCCATTGAAGGTTATAGCCAAGGCCCGGCCTTAGCCAAGCTTGCATTTTGAGCAGAGCTACTCTGGCATCCCAGACAAGGAGTGGGTCTGAGTGTGCAAAAGCTGAGGTAGAACTGATGAAGAGGTTCTCCCAGTGCCCCCCCCCCCACTTCTACACTCTGAAGAACTCACCCTGGAGCCCCTTTCCTCCTAGGAGTGAGCACCACACTGCCTCGGAAAATGGTTCTGCCTACTTGGGAGAGAAGACTGGGGACTCAGGGTATAGCAAACTCTGCCTACCAAGAACAAGACTGCAGCTGGGCATGGCCTTCAGGGGACAAGAGCAGAGACTGGACATTCTTGTGACTGTTGTCCTCCAAAGGCTGGATTCTACCAGAGCTCAGCTCCCAGAATACTATCTCTTACTGTCCATTTATTGAGTACCCACTGTATGCCTGGCACTCAGCATGTTGTTTGCAACCAAGTGCTGCCAAAGACGTGTCATCACCTGTACCATCCAGGCCCAGGCACCAAGCTTGAACATACTCTGCCTTAGGTAACCCCCTACTCCTCTCCTGGTCCAGGCAGTACCTCAGAGGTCAGGCCCTAGAACCTGATGCTGTATCCACAGGGTCTGTGTAGCCCACTCAGTGGGTGGCTCTAAAAGATGAGGGAATGAGGAGTATGGGGTGGGCAGGACAAACCCATTTCTAAATGAACAGCCTGTCTGGGCAGACAGTAGACTTGCTGTGTGAGGGAAAATTTACTAACACAGTGGTCTTGTTCATGGAGACTGATAGAAACACCACCTGATCCTCACTGCCAAACCAGCCAGGAGGCTTGTTCTGATGGGAAACATTTCTTGGGTGCCTACTATATGCTGGAGACTCAGTGAGAGACTCTTTGCCCCACTCAGACACCACCAGTCTCTCCTTGCTAGCCTAGGTCTGTCTGGACCCTGACAGCCCCAGGAAAGGGTCACATTGGTGATACAGGCCTCATCTCAGACTTTCCTCCATACCAGAGCCTAAGAAGGCAAGGATAACCCCTAGCCACTGATCATCATCCCAGCTCACCCCTAAGCTCACTATACAGGGACCATTTCCCAACTCCGGATCCATGGCTTGAACAGAAGTTCAGATTCTTGCTCTGGCCCTTAAGGCCATGACTCAGTGTTAGGTGGTGTTGGCACCTAACACTGTCATAGTTGCAGTATTACAGTTTTAGACACCAAGTCAGGGGAATCTGAACTCTAACCTCAGATTTTGGCCAGCTTGTCTGGGACCTTGGCCATTCTAATGTTTCTGTAAATCTCCGTTTTCTCATCTTGAGGAGAAAGGGGTGTGACATGGTGGGAGAAGAGCCTTGGGAGTGCCCTGCATCCATCTCTAGCTAGAATTTCATGGTGAGCCAGCAAGATATCTCAACTAGGAATGGTGCTTGCTGCTGAACCCATGGACCTGAGTTTGATCCCCAGAACCCACATGGTGGGCAGAAGGAGAGAATTGACTCCCAACGTGCTCTTCTGACCTCTACACACACACACACACACACACACACACACACACACACACACTAATAAATGAATAAATGTAGGATTCCATCAGGCCACAGAAGACCCCTCAATACCATAGTACTATCCTCATGTGACCCATGAAAAGGTGGGTGGGAAACAGATGTAGGTGTCTCTGGGCAGAGAGGCCACCCCTGTCATCTACAGAGACTAAGATGCCATATCCAATAGCCCCCAGGGAGATGGATCCTGGCCACTGATGCCCTCTGCATTACCACTTGCAAGTATAGCTTTGAGTATTGGGCTTCCTGTCCTCATGATGTCTGAACCCTTCCTGACTGTTGGGGAACTTTTCCAGCTGTTTTCTTGCTGGCTTATTTTTGCAACAGTCTGGCATGGATCCCAGCAAGGGGCAGGCAGCCTCCTCACAAAGGGGAGGAAGCCTCAGCTTGATGGGTTAAAAAAATACTGAGGGGGGGTGGAGAGAGATGCTCCAAAAGTTTCAGAACCTGTCAGCTAGTCTAAAGTTGGGGTGTAAGGTCAGCCATCACACTACAGTTACCTCCTGTAGTCTCTTCTGCTAATTCTGCCCCCGAGTCTAGTGACAGGTAACTCCTTCCAGCACTTTTAAAGCCCCCACCATCCCAGGCAGGCTCTGTGGGGCTCAGCTGAGCTGTCCAGGGTCCTGGCCAGGCCCCGCCCCGCCCCAAAGGCTTCTCTGATCAGTCTCCTACACACACACACACACACACACACACACAATCACACAATCTCCCTCCTGGAAATCAAAACCAGAAACTGTGAAGGTGATCCAGCCCCTACTACATGTCAACTCTCAAGGCCTCGCTGGCCATTTCTGAGAAGTGAGAGCAACACAAAACAGGCCAGGACTCACAGTCAACCATAGTCACAACCTCCAGGCTAGCAAAGACGGGAACTGGAGGGACAGTGGCACCATGCTGCCATTGAACAACACACTCTGGATGGTGTGAAGCTTTGAAACTAAATGACTGCTACATCTTGTTGACCAGTGAAGAACCCTTGCTGGGAATGCTGATAAGGAGAGAGACACAGAGGCAGAGAGAGAGAGAGGTGTTTAGCAGGGATGTCCTCCTGGATGGGACAGCTCTTGAGTCAGTATTTCCAGAGAAAAGGCATAAGGGCCCAGTGATTCCAGGGCTGCTCTGGGAAGAGGCTGTGAGCACCCGTAGGCTCCAGTAATAGAATAGAGTGTCCCCAGTCACACATGGTTGCTGTGCCTCCTGTGACACCACTGATCTTTCCCCTCTTTCTGGAAGAAGATGCTGAGCCGGGGGAGGGGCTTTTGGCAGCGTGCGGCCCTTGAAGTGCCCCAGATCTGGTCACTGCTGCCCTCCACTCCATGCTTCGTCAATGGAGCAGGTAAGAAGGCTAAAGGAGAAGACACAGATCAAGTGTTTCAGGGCCCAGGATCTTTGTTCAGAATCTTTGTCCATGGGTCACAGCTCTGGGAGGGGGGTGAGGTGTCCTTCCTGGCCATCCCTTGGCTCTTGCTCACCCATGCACTGTTCCCTATCCAATAGTAAGGTACACACACACACAGGGGGTCTCAGTGTGCAAAACTGAAAAGACTGAATTCTATATGAAGGGTAAGTAATTTAGGCCCCCAAAACCCTCTTAAGCCTTTAGGAGGTCCTGTCAACTCTGCCTGAGAATGTGAAACTGGAGTGGGACTGGGAGCCAAGAGGGCATCTGGGCAGGCCTGGCTTCCAGCAGTGCCAGCTACCAGGAATACCCTGGAGCCACACAGCCTGCTCCACCCTCTCTTGCCACAAGTCCCTTCCCACCACCCTTCTTAGGGAGGCAATGTTACCAGCTGGGGACAACCCTGTCTGAGGTGTCAGACAGGCTTGGGCCTGTCTCTGGGACCTGAGCCAGGCACTCGGCCTGCTGCCTCACCTGGAATATGAGGTCTGCCTCATAGGTTGTGCCAACTATGCTAGACAGGGATTTGGAGCTGTCTCAAGATCCCTTGTCTCCCACAAGCACACAGAGGGAGGGTCCCAGGAGAGTTTGTAGGGCCTTCCCAGCCCTCACTGATGCTGTAGCCCTGTGCTAGTCCCTGTTGGACCCCCTAGCTCCATCCCTTCCACTCAGCAGGTACTTAGTGAGTTTGAAACTCCCTAAGATGCTTATGGGAGCCCCCAGTAAGCACCCTACTTTTGGAGGTGTCTGAATTGTGAAATAGGGTCTGCTGGGCAGCCGCTAACCCAGAATAAGAAAGGTAAGAAGAAAGGCTGATTATTAGAGGGTCAGTAAGCTGGGAGAGGTACTAGAGATCTAGGGAGACCCAAGAGGCTGGAAAAGGCTAGCTGAGCCACAGGTTCCCTTGTTTGGAAAGGAGGCCTAGGCCTCTGTACTCCTGCAGAACCCACCTGCCACGGACTCATTTCCTGGCGTCCACACCCCCTCCCAGGCTGAAATATTGTTCCAGGACGTTCCTGAGCCTGTTCATTCCCAGGCTCCTCCAGCCACCCCTAAGCTGTCCCTCACTGGCCAGGCC